ATGTCCAGCTGGACAGGCAGGCTGGAAATGTAGAAGTCGGCAGCATTTGCACCTCCAGAGAAGACATCTCTGGAGTCAATTTTCGGCCGCTGACGCGTGGAGATCAGACAGGCTTTCGGTCAAACCTGGAGCATCAGGCAGTAGATGAGGAAAAGGAAGAAAATGACCTGTTTTTGGACACCCATGGCCTAGAGATGACTCACGCCTTGGCGAAGCCAGCTCCAACAATGATGAAATCGTCTGTCTGTGGAATGGTCCATCTCGACAGACAGAATGAAGCCATGACAGGCTGGCTCTACAGCCCTCAACAATCGACAACTGGCCGACGAGGTAGTCTTTCGGTAAGAGAATGTTTTGAAATTATTAGCAAATCTTAATCAAAAGAGCCCAGCCACTCTGCTACTGAGAATCCCGATCATAAAAAGCAGCAAATGATGCCTATATCATAGCTATAGGAGCGCTTGGTTCGAGTCTCTGGACCGAAATCCAGAGTCGGTAATGAAGTGAAAATAATAGTATCTAGTCATTGTGACATGACTTTCCATTTCGAAGTAAAATTTGATAGGAAAGAATGCGTGATGTGGTCTTACCGGAAAGCGATTTAGGATTGCCATGTATGAAAGGCTGTTGAATTGTGCGAAGAAGTCCTTAACTCACCGTCCTGCGACCTCGATGAAACTATGTGAAGCTATCGTCTATACTGTGACAGACATCGTCAGAGTAGGTATCCATACTTCACAAAATAGGGCAAAAATATATTAAACCAAGAGAAAAGTCGGCCGGCTCCAACCCTAGTCGATTTTTATACACCTAACTTCACGATCTTAATGAGGCATCCCATGATTTGATTGGCTACTTCAATCTTACTCTACATGCTTGTAAATAAGTGAAATGACTTCCCGAACCGGAAGTGCGCTCGGTGGCAGCTATTTCCTTACTCAAATAAATTAGTGTACGATCCTCTAATGTTGAATCATGTTTGGGCGTGTGTTATTGTCTATTGTGTGTATGTAATGTTCATGTCATGGGAACAGTTATAGTCCTAGCTAGACTCGAGGTGAACCCAGCCTCCTCCTCGTGTTCAGTATTTGGCATCATCAGTGAGAGGTACTATCGAAAGTACAGAGTTACAACTTATCAAATTAACAAGGCAATCTCCTTAACCAATTTTCTGTTCAACCGTTGTGGCATCACTCTTCACTCATATTTTTTGCTATAACTTCTTGTGCTGTATCTATTTCTATCAACCACACTTCATGTAGCCGATATACCTATTCAGATAATTCTGTACCCTCGTTTCCTCCAGTGTCACCTAAGAATGCTATCTGGAGCGGAAAAGACAATTGGACCGTCCCACTCGTTTTTTGATTTTGCCTTCCTGTCACCTCGTGGAAAAGTTGGCTGATCTACTGAGGAAGCGGAACCTAAAAACAATGCATAAAGCGAAATTAACACTTTATCAGTAGATCCTTCGTTTTGAGAATTTTCAGACCCTCTGTCTAGACTAGGCTGCAACAAGATTTTGTGCTTATGTGGTAAGGTCTATTTTGGAGGATACCTGCCGACCCATGCGGAAGAGATTATGCGAACACAAAACCGCTTGTAAGGGTTCAAAAATTTCAACTTGCTGAATACATGGCTGATACAGGACATTCGATTTAATGGTCTAAAACACACCGTTTTTCCATTTACGGGGACTTCACATCAAAGTGTAAGATTATGGAGTCTATATAAATTAATAGGATAGCCAAAGTTCTGAATAGGAGAAACGAGTGTGGGAAACTGAGTAGGAACTATCTGTGGCTATTTGATAAGCTTAAGGACGAGGAGAGAGAGGGAGTGCAAGAAGAACCACTGAACTAGAGAAGGAGACTCGAGTCTAGCCTCGAGTCTAGCTAGAAGTATCACACCTTCCATGGCAGGAGCATTGCATGTACACAGTAGACAATAGCACAAGCCAAAACGTGGTTCAATATTAGACAATCGTATACTTGTTTATTTGTATAAGGAAACAACTGCCACCATGTGCACTTCCGGTTCGTGAAGAAACTTCACTAATTTGCATGTCTGTAGGGAAAGTTTGAAGTAGCTGAGCAAATCATGGGATATCTCATTAAGATGGCGAACTTAACTGTATAAAAACGAAACTAGGGTTGTAGCCGTCCACCTTTTCTCTTGGTTTAGTATATTTTTGCTCTATTTTGTGAAGTATGGATACCTGCTTTGATAATGTGTCACAGTAGAGACCTAAGCTTAGCACAATTTCAGTGTGCTCGCAGGATGTTGAGCCAAAAACTTCTTCGCGAAATTTAACAGTTTTTCTCACGCGGCAATTCTCCCTCACTTTCCGGTGAAACCACATTACGAATTCCTTGCAACCAACTTTTCCCTCGTAATGGGAATCCATGCCACAATATATCTCTGAGGCATAATTCGAAACTCAGTTTTTATTCACGCCTAGTCTTTAATTCTTGGTTAAGAAATTAGTCGCCTTAGGCCCGGGGACTTCACATTAAAGTGTAAGATTATGGAGCCTATATAAATTAATAGGACAGCCAAAGTTCTGAATAGGAGAAACGAGTGTGGAAAACTGAGTAGGAACTATCTGTGGCTATTTGATAAGCCACAAGGGATAAGCCATAAGGGTAGTTTAAGGACTGATAATGGAATTTTCCCCACGATAACATGTGTGGGCCTTAAGATACCATTTATTTTCAATTGGGCTAGCCTCCTAAATGGTTTTCTTCCTCCTACTGGACTGTGGTTTCGATCCTGCTCAGGTCCTCTAAGTTCTCCTAACTGGATTTTTAAATGGATTT